TTCGTCCCACTCCAGCTCCCCCTGCCGGCTCTCAGGGCTCTTCCTCCTCCTCCTTCTCCTCCTCCTCAGTATTCTCCTCCTCACCATCACCATCCTCATCCTCATCCTCATCCTCCTCCTCCTCACCATCACCATCACCATCATCCTCATCCTCATGATCCTCCTCCGCATCATCACCATCAGCATCAGCATGTTCATATACTTATCAGTATCCTCCTCATCATCATCATCATCACCAGCAGGACCCTAACCATTATCAGCAGCATAATCGCGATCATCATCATCATCATCATCATCAGCATCATCATCATCATCATCATCATCATCATCATCATCAGCAGCAGCAGCAGCAGCAGAAGCATCATCATCATGACCGGCAGCAGTATCATCGACTGCGTCATCATCACCATCATCACCATCATCATCGTCATCGTCAGCATCATCACAATCATCATCACCATCAGAATCATCAACATCACCATCATCAGCAGCATGGTCACCATCATAATCAGACTCAACATCATCATCATCATCGTCACCATGATCGGCATGAACATCGACAACTCCATCATCACCAACATCACCAACAACAGCCTCATCCGCGTCCTCACCACCATCATCATCATCATCAGCATCATCATCATCAGCATCATCAGCATCCTCATCATCATCGTCATCAGCATCCTCAGCATCATCATCATAATCAGCATCAGCACCATCGTCATCATAATCAGCAGCAGCAACAGCCTCATCACGATCATCATCGTCAGTGTCATCGTCTTCGTCATCGCCATCGTCGTCATCAGCATCAGCATCCGTATCAGCATCAGCATCAGCATCATCATTAGCATCAGCATCATAATCATCATAATCAGCATCAGCATCAGCATCATAATCATAATCAGCATCATATCAACATATCATCATCATCTCATCATCAGATTATCATCATCCTCATCCTCATCATCATGGAAATTCAACGACCCTGCCGACGTGTGTGAGGGGCTTTTCCGTTGGAGTCGTCGTCTCCGTCCTCGTCTGTTCCGTTTGCCCGGGCTCCCTTTCTCTTACGCCCCCCGCCAAAGCAACAATGAACAACACAGGAGTGGAATCGAACGGACGCCCTTTCCCTTGAATCCATTCCCCGCGCCCGGGGGGTGGTCCCGGAGAGGGGTCCCAGGGGGGTCTTGGGGGGGGGGCCTCCAGATTTAGGTCGGGCATGTCCCCCTACAGGCGGCTTTTGGACGAAAATCTAAAAAACCCAAGAATACGAAATACTAATAAATAGTGAAGATATCGTCCCCAGACTATTTTTTGCTATTTTTGAATTTTCCTCCTGTAGAGGGACAGGCCCAACTTAACGCTTTCCCCAGCGCGATTCCGAAACCTCCCCCAGCCGAGGTCCTGGCGGGGCCCAAAAATAGGGTGGTCCGCCAACGGGAAAGCCTGGGGTCCCGGGTGGGGATCGCCAGTGGGGGTCCCTGGGGAGGTCCCGCCTGTGGCGCGGCGGGGGGGCGGTCCCGGGTTAGAAGAACCGCCGGGGGAAGTCGCCACGCGGGGTCCCAGGAGAGGGCCCGCCTTCGGGGTCGGCGGCACTGGCCGGAAGGCCTCCACAATCATCATCAGCAGAATTAGCAGCAGCCTCGACATCATCAGCATCATCATCATCATCATCATCATCATCAGCAGCAGCAGCATCATCATCATCATCATCATAATCAGCATCAGCATCAGCATCATCATCAGCATCAGCATCAGCATCAGCATCATCATCATCACCATCATCATCAGCAGCAACATCATACTAATTATAATGATCGGAATCGTCGTCATCATCATCATCATCATCATCATAATCAGCATCAGCATCAGCATCATCATCAGCATCAGCATCAGCATCATCATCATCCTCAGGCTCATCCTCATCCTCATCCTCATCCTCATCCTCATCATCATCCTAATAATCATCACCACCACCATCAGCATCATCAGCAGCAGCATCATCATCATCACCACCATCAGCATCATCAGCAGCAGCATCATCATCATCATCACCACCACCATCAGCATCAGCATCAGCATCAGCATCATCATCATCATCATCATCATCATCATCATCATCATCATCATCATCATCATCATCATCATCATCATCGTCGTTATCCTCCTCATCATCATCAACAGCATCAGCATAATCATCAGCGTCATGAGCATCATCATCATCATCATCATCATCATCATCATCATCATCATCATCTTCATCTTCACCTTCATCATCATCAACATCATCAGCCTCAACATCATCACCACCATAATCACTGTTACAATCATCATTGCCATCATCAACACATTCATCGGCATCAGCATCACCGGAGGCGACGCCGCCATCATTACCATCACCATCAACAGCACCAGCACGAGCCATCATCATCAGCATGAGCATCAGCATCAGAATCAGCGCCAGCATCAGCAGTATCATCGTCATC